CAGACCACCCGGCTCACAGGCCTAGGAGTGTCTTCTTCATGCCTCACTTTCTCCATCTGGTAATTAAGACAGCAGTGCCACTCTGTGTCTGAGAGCTTTGTGCACTGCGTGGAACAAACAGTCTGTAAAATGCTTATCCCAGCACCAGCAGGTAGACACACACACACACACACACACTCCCGCTCCATCATGTTTCACAGAGGACTCACTCATTCATGTTTCCACTTCACATTCCTAGTGCCTGGCACATAGTAAGGGCTCACATAAACAATGCTGGAAGGAAGGAAGGAAAGGAAGGAAGGAAGGAAGGGAGGAAGGAAGGAAGGAAGGAAGGAAGGAAGGAAGGAAGGAAGGAAGGAAGGAAGAAAGAAATATATTCACATAAAATGTGTTGAGTTCTGGGTTTTTCATTTTGAATACCCAGGACTTAGATGTTCAGACATGAAGGAAATTCTTTTAGGATTATCAAAGTCACAAAGGAGTCATTGTGTACGTAGGAAGGACTGCAGGGGACACATTGGTCCCTGGTCCGGTGATGGGCCACAGCAGGAGCAGAACCAGGCTACAAATGGAGTCAGGAGCTGGGCAGAGCCTGCTGGTGGGGTACAGCATGTTCTCACCAAGCATGCAGCGAACACCCTGTTCTGAGCCTCAGGAAGCTCGGCTGGGAAGCTTGCAGAGGGAGGTATTGAGAATGAGCAGCCTCTGGCTGGAGCTACCTAGGCACTTCCTAGCAGCCAAGACTTCCGTCTAAGGTGACAGTGCAGTGAACACGCCCCAGACTCCAGGCACCTTCCCTGCTCTTGGGATCCCCATTTGGGGGTCCGGCATGGCCATTTGCATGCACTTGGGGTGTATCCCCAAAGTCTGTCCGTACTTATGTCATTTGGACAGGGGCCTTCGGGGGACAATTAGAATAAGATGTCATCATGAGAATGGGGCCCCAGGGGGGCCTTCGTGGCTTTATAATTGGTTCTGCCCCACCATGGGATGTCCCCTCCATGTCAGTATGAAGCATCAAGTCACCACAGATTCAGCACTGTGCTCTGGGCTCCCTAGTCCCCAGAACTGAGCCCAAAGAGCCTGTACTTAATAAATAAGCAAAGCTTCAAGTGTTTTGTGATAGACAGCCTCAGAAAATGAACTGAGACACAGCTTTCAATCCTGTGCAGACCCAATCCTTCAGAGCTCCCGGCTCACATGATATGCAGTCAAGAACGTTCTGCCCTACCCAGTGGCCTCCAGCTTGACCTGTCTGCTGTGGTTCTAATAGGGTTTCCACTGGGATATCTCTCTGGATGGTCTTCTAGCTCCAGGAGGACAGAGGACAGGGCAGCTCTGCTCACTGTGTGCTTTTGGAAGCCTCTGGGTGTCCGAAGGCAAAAGTGAGCAGGGGAGTCGGGGGGGGGGTGCAGGGGGAGGTGAGTGCACCCCTAGAGGAGGAAGGCTGACTTCAGTGTCCAGTTAGTGGCTCGTCTCACCTATGCGACAAAACCCTACCAAAGACCGCTTCGGGAAGAAGGGGCTTATTGTGGCTCGAAGTTCAGGGGTGCGCAGTCTGTCACGGTGGAAAGGTGTGCCTGTGGGGGTACCAGGCAGCCGGTCATACTGCGTGCACAGTCGGGAAGCAGAGAGGAAGGCTGGCGCCCTGCTCACTTCTCTGTTTTTATTCAGTCTGAGACCCCAGCCGGTGGGATAGCGCTGCCTACACTTAGGGAGGGTCTTCACTAGTCGTGGAAATACCTGCAGGTGTGACCCTAGATGCTTCTAAAGCCAGTCTAGATAACGCTGAAAATTAACTGTCCCAACTTTAAATGGGTGTGGTTCTTCTTTTACTATGCCTGGAGTTCGGGGCTGTGAGGGAAGGACCAAGCAGAACTCACTTTGCATGCTGGAAAATGTTTCTGTCATCTGCCGAGCTGGGAGTGTGCTCTGCGGTCTTCCCGGAGCCCCAGATAAGCAGTGTTGCATTCCAGCAGCTGTGAGGAGGAAACCCAGCTGGGTGGGAGCTGCCCGTGAGTGTGGCACCGCACGGCAGAGACACTTCCGTGACTCTCCCTGCCTGCTTGAGACAGCTCAGGGGAGTCACAGGCCTGCTGTGGAGAGAGGAGGGGAGCTGAGAAAGGACGAGGGAAGAGCGGTCACAAGTAGGTGGGGAAGAGGGTGAGCCTGGTATCATGGCAGGTGCACCACTAGTACCATATCAATGGGTCTTTGTCAAGTCCATGGAGAGAGGTGGTTCATGCCCATTTTACAGATGGGGGAAGATATCATCCACCCACCCACCCATTCACCAATCCATCTATGTACCAAACCAATCCATTTACCTGTCCACCCACCCACGCATCCATCCACCCATCCACCCATCCACCCATCCATCTATCCATCCACCCCACAGCCATCTCCATCTGTCTGTCTTTCTAACTATGTATCTATCTCATCAATCAACTTGTCAATCATGAAAACCCACCCTACAGAACTGAAGAGGAAGTCAGTCTTAGCTGCAGGGACAGTGGGACCCCAAAGGCGTGTATCTGAAGACATCCACCTGGGACACCAGCAGCAGCTCAATGTTCCCACCACCTCCTTCACTGCCTGCGTTTGATGGGTGTTAGGTCCCGACACAGACTGCCTGGGTACAGGCTCCATGTCTGCCATTTGCTGTGTGGCCTTGGGCAGGTGACGACTCCTCTCTGTGCTTCCATTTCTGTAAAACTGAGATGCTGATCATACAATTAAGATATCTTCAAGGTTAAATGAATGAGCGTTCATAAAGTGCCCTGCATGGTTGTACACTCTGTACCCCAACCTCACTGTGCTCTTGGGGTACTATCTGTGAAGCCCTTGTCCTCCAGGTGAGTGTCTTTCCCAAGCACAGACTTAGAGACATAGACACAGAAGTAGAGACCGGGCTCGCTTTGTGCCCCTCCCTGAAGTAGAGAGGGCTGAGACTGGGGAATGGCTCACACTGAGCCAGGGCAGCCCCAGTCAGAGAGGCAAGGGGGTTCCCATTCCAAAGCCACAGGCCCACAGGAGGGCCAGACAGGGAACCTGAAGCAGGTTGGGAAACCGGGATGAGGCTGCCAAGGCTTGAGGAGCTGGGCCAGCATCAGCCTGGGGAAGTGCCTTCACATAGGCAACCGAACTCCAGCTCAGACATCCTCACTCTGTCCTCGTCACAGCTCGCCGCCCAGGGGAAGGCCACAGCCAGCATCGTTGTGGCTTTTGGTTTGTCTCCTCTTGCTGAGGGTCAGGTGTGTGTGTATGAAGCTCAGTCTGGGGCTCTGGGTACAGCAGGGGTCAGACTCCTGGCCGAGACAACAGAAAACAGGGTCAGCAAACTATAAGCTCATCAAGGGCAAATAATGCGAAGTCACCAAGGGGGTGAGGGACTGGGGGACAGAGAGAAGCGGTCACAGGGTCTCTGTGGGTGTAAAGTTTGACCAGAGGCCTGCCTGGTGAAGGAAAGGCACGAGCTGTGGGATGGAGGAGAAGTGCTCCTCTCTGGCAGAAGATACAGTAGTTCAAAGGGTCTGGGGAATGTTTGAGGGGCCATGATGTCATGGACAGGAGTGGCGTGAGAGGAAGCAGTTGAAGTACACTGGGGACCCTCTGGGCCACAGTAAGCATGATGAATTGTTTCTATAATAAAATGAACGAGTAAGTAAAGCAATCAGACACACGAAAGCATGGATGCATAGATAGAGGGGAAGACAGGTATGTAAGGAAGGATGGACGGACAAATGAATGGATGGGGGTGGGCATGGATAGACAGACAGATGGATGGGCACACAGATAGATGGGTGTGTGGGCCAGGTAGGCAGATCAGTGGGTGGTGTTGAGATTCAGGGGCAGGTGGATGGATACACATTAGAATAATGGATGCATGGATGTATGGACAGATCGTCGGGTGTATGGATGGACATATGGATGGATGGATAGATGACCATGGTAGGTGGAGGAACTGTTGGTCCCCAGCACACACAGCAAGGCAAACTCTTTCAAAGGTCCCTGGTGCTGCTTTCCTACCCCACCCCCACTCCCGTCCCCGTCCCCATTGCAAGCCACCTCCCACCACAAAAAGCACCCTGGGAGGCAGGCAACCTCTCAGCCCCTGCCTGCCTGTCTGCTCTCCAGAGCCCAGGCTGAGCCTTAAATAACGCCCCCTCCTTCGCAAGAAGAGCCGTTCTGGTGGCGCGGGCACTGAGAGGCTTTTGGGGCAGGCAGCCGTCACTAACAGATTCATTAAGCTCGCTCCAGAGCAACGATAAAAAATCAATTTAGTTCACCAGGCAGCTTGAGCGGGCGCCAGGAGCAGGGGGGCCGCCCATCCGTGAACCGGGAGGCAGAGGAGCCGGGGGGAGTGGGTGGAGCCAAGAGTATGGCGATCCTCCGACGTCGCCCCCTCACCTGGGGGCTGCGGGAGCTGTGATGAACGGTCTGCCGGGGTTTCAGTGTCTGGGATGGGCCCAGTGTGGATGCCTGCTGTACCCAGGCAGGCTGCAGGCACACCCCTGGCAGACAGGCTGGATGTTCTTGTTCATTTCTCTTCTTAGCAATCGAGGGAGCCAAGTCCGCAGGAGGTGTGGAGGGGGAGCCCCCAACCTGGCCTGGGAGACATTTGAGAAGCAAGGAAGGGGAGCAGTTGGGAGGGAGGGGCGAGGTTGAGGAAAAGGGGTCCGGGCACATTTGCATCCGGGCAAGTTATACAGGAAACAGCAAGTCAAAGGGGTGAGCAGCCCGAAAGCATGGGCAAGGCTGAGTCATGGCTCTGGGCTAGCAACCTTGGGGTCCTTGCATCCCAGGCCTGGAGGCTCTTACCCAGCCTGGCTGCTCAGCAGCAGAGGGTCTGCTGGGCCCAGGGGAAGGGCAGCAGCTTTCTCTGGCTGGTGCCACCTTGGGGACCTGTGTGCAGGAGCTGGGGGTGCTGGCTCTGGAAGCTGCCGTCACAGAGCGCAGGGTTCAGTGACGAGGTGGCTACAGGCCAGCACAGACACAGCTGGTCTTCACTTGGTGGAAGAACACACTCACAGAGCCTCACCTAGCGCGCTCTTGGCTACATCTCTGGAAGGATGGGGTGGTGGTAGCTTCCTAGGAAAGGTGGACACCGTGAGTACAGCCAGGGCTGGTGGACAGATAGACAGGAGGGTAGAGGCTGGGCCAGGGAGGACACAGAGGGACCCTAGGGATGCCAGGGACGGGGTAGAGAGGAGAGGACTAGGAAGTGGGGGGCACATAGTTCAGAATCTGGGGTCAGAGGTGATAGAGGAAGTCTGGAAGCTGCAGTCTGGGGCGCTGCCTGCTGCAGGAATCCGGAGGTGGGCAGCAGGAGGGCTACAGCTCTTGCAGGGTGCCAGATGGGGCCCAGACAGCTGGGTGCGGGATGGAGAGTTGTGGGGGAGTGGGTAGAAGTGAGTGTGACCTGGCCAAGCATCTGCAGGGCTCAGATCTGGACCACTCTCCGTTAGAGGCTCACAGCAGCCACTTCCAAAGGCAGGAGAGCGGACAGCGGACATTTGAGAAGGCCAGAGTATCGTCACTCTTCCTCCCAAGACTCTGTATCCAGGTGAGAAGAGGGTGGAAGTAAAACACACACACACACACACACACACACACACACACACACACACACACACACAAGTATACACAGACAGACACATACACATGGAGACACACACAGAGAAATTAAAACATACACACTCACACACTGACACACTGACACACTGACACATACACATACAGACACAGAAACTGAAACATACACACACACTGACACATATATATACACACACACAGAATGATACATTTGCACACAGACTGATACTGACACACATACACAAATATACATAGTCTGACACATATCCACAGACACACACAGACCAACACACACACACACAGAAACTGAAACATAGACCCACAGACTGCTACACACACACACACACACACACACCAACACCTACATTGATTCACAGAGACTGGCACATACACATACAGACCCATGTAGAATGATACATTTACACACAAACTAACACAGAGGCCCCAGCAGTCCCCCAGGGGGCTCTGATCAGTGTTCCATGCAGTTGGAAGAAGAGCGGGAATGTGAGCTGAGTGGGGGATGGGAGGAGCCACCTAGGAAGCTTGTGCACAGTCACTGGAGGCCACGGCTCAGGGGAGGGGGCGGTGGTGATAGACACACAGGGGAACCCTGGCGGAGAGGATGGGGAGGACACGTGCATGCGCGTGCCTGCATGTGTGTGTGTGTGTGTGCACAGGCGTGTGTGTGTGTGCATGTGTGTGTGCACGTGTGTGTGTGCGTGTGCGTGTGCGTGTGTGTGTGCACGTGTGCGTGTGCGTGTGCGTGTGTGTGTGTGTGTGTGCGTGTGCGTGTGTGTACACATGCATGCTGCCCAGCCAACTGGCAATAGCAGGCAGGGATGGTCAATATAGGGCTACCGAGGAGTGTGGCAAAAGGCTGGGGAAGCTGAGGCACGGGCGTGTGGTGTGGCCGCTGAGGGCCTCTGGAAGGCTATAGTCTTTTCTAAACCGCTGCCTGACCTTCTGGGTTGCGTGGAAAAGTGGGCTCGCGGGCCGAGCAGGAAAGAATGCAGTTTCTCAAATAGCCGTGCAGGGATTTAGGCAACCGCCCAGCATCAGCCCTTCTCCCCAAGGGTAGGAGGGCACATATGTTTACCATTACAATTCCCGTTGTTCCGATGGGGAAACTGAGGCACAGAGAGGCAGCACCACCTGGATGAGGCTGAGTCTAGGCTGAGACCTAAGCTGCTCTTGAGGGGGGGGGGTGGCAGCTCTTCCCGCTACCCCTGTGGGTTTCACCCGCTGCTTCCAAGGCTGGGACACGCAGAGGCCTGTCTGCAGATGGGGCGGACGCGAGAGTGCTCCTCATTCCTGTGGCTCTCTCTCTGCCAAGGAACCTGGCCAACATTCCTTGGAATCCACAGCGTTAAGCTACACACAGGGGAGATGAAATCAGACGGGATGCTGGTAATGGCTTCCACATGTCTGGCTGCAGCTGCTGCCAGCAGTGAGGGGAGAAGAGGCCCGACTAGGGAGGATGGTTCCCTATCGCTCGCCTGCACATGCTTGCGGGGGCCCAGGGCTTTGGGGCATCCCTGGTGGAGAGCTGGGCTGTTTCAATGTAAAAACAGAAGTGTGCGAGGGGGAGGAGACAGAAGGATATATAGATGTGTGTGTGTGTGTGTGTGTGTGTGTGTATGAATGTATGTATGTATGTATGTATGTATGTATGTATGTATGTATGTGTGTGTGGGTGGGTGGATGGACGGACGGACGGACGGACGGATGGGTGGGTGGGTGGATGATGGATGGATGGATGGATGGATGGATGAGTGGATGGACGGACAGACGGATGGATGGATGGATGGATGGATGGATGATGGATGGATGGATGGATGGATGGACGGATGGGTGGGTGGATGGGTGGATGGATGAGTTGGTAGGTGGATGGGTGGATGGATGGATGAGTGGATGGACGGACAGACGGATGGATGAATGGGTGGATGGGTGGATGGATGTGAAGGGGGGTAGATGGATCTTACTCTTCCCATCTAGTCATTGGGTGAGGGACTAGCATGAGGCCAGGCACCCAGTAGGTGCCCTCCTGCTCTCGGTTGGAAACACATAAATGGAGCCTTTTATGAAACAGGGCCAGTGGTGAGCGGGTGAGCGGGTGAGGTCTGTGGACCATGGAGACCGTTATCCCTGACCTCTCTCTCTGCTTTCAAGGCTCAGATTCCACTTTATCTTGTTTTATTACTTTACATGCATGGGTGTCTTGCCTACATCTGTGTCTGTGTGCCTCGTGCATGCCTGGTTCCTGTGGAGGCCAGAAGAGGGCACCGAATCTCCTGGATCTGGAGCTACAAATGGTTGTGAGCCACCCTGTGGATGCTGAGGATGGAATCTGGGTCCTCTGGAAGGACAGCCAGTGCTCTTACCCACTGGGCCATCTCTCCGGCCCCCCTTTCCTCTTCTTGAAGCAGAGTGCATTGGCCCCAGTCTCGCTGGGCTGCCTTAGGAAGTTGCTTGAAAACGGGTGGGAAATGTCCCCTGTCCCTCTAGGCAAACAGTAGGTGCTTCCAGTGGCTCTGGTAGCAGCGGTGTCATGACGGCTGCTCTGGCTTTCTGCCATCTTCATGTGATTTTCCTTTTTCATCCAGTCCTGCCTCCGACTTAGAAAACACATTTGACCTCTGTCTTCTGCACAGGGTGAGGCTCAGAGAGGTTAAGTGACCTGCCAATGACACACAGCTGGGACAAGCTGGGGCAAGAGTCTGGTTTATTGTGCCATAGGTTTTTTTCAGCTAACACACAGATGTGACAACGTGACACACAGATGTGACAATGTGCCAATCAGCACTTGGCAAAACAGGAGCTGAAGGAAAGCCAGGCGGTCTTCTTCTCCCCCAGCGTGGACTGCAGTTTGTTCTCATCCTTTTCATTCGTAGATGGGGCGGGAGGACAGGCTGCCACCCTGTGATGTCATTCACGCCTGTGCCAAGTTCAGGAGGAAGGGGTGAGGAGTGCCAGCAGCGCAGCACACTCGAGCCCCCCCCCCTCCCCCCAAGGGGCAACCGGGATTCAGCCTGGATCCAACACAGCCCTCTCGAGTTTCCCAACTGGAAATGCAGACAAATCAAACACAGCATCGCGAGCCACCCGCTGCCCCGATTCGGGAAGAGCCGGGCTGGTGTTCTCACCAATCCCGCTGCAGCATGGAATCCTGGCTCTGTCTAATCGATTCCCTACAGCCACATATCCTGTTTCCTATATATCGTACACGGAAAAAGAGAAGATGAGGTCCTACTGTAAAGAGCCGTGTGTGTGTGTGTGTGTGTGTGTGTGTGTGTGTGTGTGTGTGTGTGTCCGTGTGTCCTGCCCAGGCTATGTGTGGGTGGACACCATTCACAAACATGTGTATGCATGTGGACACATGGGTGCACAGGCTTACACATGTGCACACATGTGCCATCACATACAGGACTCACACTCATGTGTCTCGAGTCTTAACATAACCGCGTAAGTCTTACAAGTGTACACACACATGCACAGGCTCACATATGTGCACACACATGCACAGGCTCACACATGCACATATACAGACATGCAAAGGCTCGCGTGTGTGCACACACATGAACACACATGTGCAGGCTCACACTCATGCACACACATTCACAAATAGACACACTCTCACATGTGTGCTCACACAGGCCTCTCCATTGCCCAGGGCTGGTTTTTGTCAAGCCTCAGTTCAAACTGGAAGAGGGGAGTCAAACTTAAGGGCTGTGGCGGGTCACCGGAGTGAGCGTGGGGACAGATGGATTCTGTGCGTGCTCTGAGCCTCACCTCTCTCCAGGGCCGCTGCTACCTCTCTACTCTGCCGTGAAAGAAGGCAAACTCACATTCGGTGCGTTCCAATTTTCCAGAAGCACCCTTAATTCAGGTGCTTAAATGAAAATTCCCGTTTTGGAAGGATGTGAGCGGTAAATTACCCCCTAACCCCGCCCCCTTCCCTTCCTCTTTCCTGTCCCTTGTGCAAGGAGCCTGGGCCTCTGCTCACTTGGCTCACACTCTCCCACTGGGCTGCACCCCCCAGGTCAGGGGACCGTGGAGGCCCCAGAGGCCTGACCCCTAGTCACACCTGTGCTGTCTGCAGGTGACACAGGCCCCTCCTTAGTCACTCAGCTCCTTCTGGGGTCCCACCTCCTCTGCGGCCGGACCGATGGCAGGCCCTTCCCTCCCTCCAAGGCTCCGGGGTCAGAGGGCATTTTGCCATCCCCTCTCCTCCTCCTAATTCACTTTTACTCCCCTCCCCCTCCCCCTCCATACGTCCAGTTCCCACCCACCCCACCCCCCGCCCCCCGCCCGACTGTTCAATTTTATTAATGGCTGATTTTCTTCCTCAGCCGTCTGGAGGCTGCTGCTCAGCTCCGCACTTGTCAGCCACAGATCGATATCTTGTGTGTGTGTGTGTGTGTGTGTGTGTGTGTGTGTGTGTGTGTGTGTGTTTTGGGGGGTGGAGTGGGGGGGGTCGTTTCATTAGCTAAGTGCCATGTAATCTACTTGGCCACCCCAGAGCCTCTTCTGAGCTGGCAGAGACTGGCCGGCTGAAGGTCTAAGTATGTCCTGATGGCACGAGAGGAAATGCTTGGAGACATCAACCCCAACCCGGCAGTTTGCCTGGGGTCCTGGGTCCCCCACCACTGCATCACAGCCTGGTGTTCCCAAAGCTCGAGAACAGGAGAATCTTCCCACGGGCTCTGGAACTCGACCTGTAAGCAGCTGGCCCATGGTGAAGGGCAGGCTGAGAGGAGGCCCCCGGCAGCCCACATGAGGCTTGAACCCAGGGCTAGCTGCCTCTTAGTCGGCACTGAATTGACTGCTGAAGGGGGCTGCCCAAGGCAGTCTGTGTCCTGGCATACCTAACCATGTGAGTCCTGTGGCCTTGGGTATACCTCACACTGTGCCCTCTGCGTCCTCTTATGGAGTCCGGCTACCTGAAACTTGGCTCATTTCTGGAGTTACAGCCACTGCCAGGGGCTGGTGTGTCTTCTCCTCAATGGCAGGGAGACCCTGGAGGGTCGATGTCAGTGGGGGTAGCGGGTGGGAGGATCTATAAAGAGCTGCTATCACCTACCACGGTGCATGCTTTCCATGGTCTCTGAAGAATGCATGGGACACGGTTCCACACTGGAAGGCTGCTGCTGGACACACTTAGGGACTTCTCAGCAGTTTGGGGCGCCATCTGCCTGGGTGGGGAGTGGGTGGAAGAGCCGAGGGCGCAAAGGGACAAGAAGGGACAAGGGAGAGGAAAAGGAGGTTGGGGGCCAAGGGAAACCACATCATAGGCAATGGCTCTGGTCTCCACGGCATTGCTACTTCACCCAAGAACCGGGGTCCCCTGGGTCCTCTCCCCAGCCTCTGCTCTCACATCTGGAGGTGTGACTAATCCCCACCAAAGTGGGTGCTCCTGAAGTCTAGAGAACCGAGAAAGAGGCTGCTCCAGGGGGCTGACTCTGTATCCCCACCCCAGCTGCTCTGGAACTGTACCAGCTCTTAAGTCTCCCCAGATCTTGATGAGTTTGTCTCCTTGGGGCAGGAGCTGGATGAACCTGGTCTAGATTATCCTGAAGTCAGCGGTACTGAGGTGAAATCCCAGACCTGACATACACTGCGTGTGACCTAGACCAGTCGGACTACCTCTCCAGGCCTCCGGTCCCACATGCCAGAATCAAGGTCCATGCTGCACAGTTGCCATAGCGATCAAGTAAATGGATGCAGAAAAGCTGCCATGTGTTGGTCTCCTGGACACGGCACTTCAGAATCTGGTTTGTGTATACGGTGGATGGTTGGTGGGGTGTGGTGGGGTGTGGTGGTGGTGGGGGGGTATGCTCAGCTGCCAGAGAAGTGAAAGAAATGGAACGGGGCACAGAAAAGCCAGGGTGTGGCTCATGCTCAACAGGGATCTCTGCTGGCCACTGGGGGAGGGGGGGCGGGGGGGGGGCACGAGAGCTGTAAAGACTGCCAAGTTCACCACGTAAATGCCCAGAGGAAGACCAGGCTCCCTTCATTTACCCATTACGTGAAGGTCTGAGCTTAGACAAGCTGAGGACGAGGCTCCACTGGAAGCCTCGAGCACCCAGGAAAACTGCGCCATGGGATCCCACAAGGAGCAACTTGACACCCTGGAGACCACAGATGAACTCTCTGTCCTGTTTTCCAAGGTCCTGCCAGTAAAGCCACCTAGGGCAGCAGAGTGAGAGAGCGCCGCCTTACCAGGTGGCTGGGAGTCTGTGAGGGCAAAGGGTAGGGTGGATGGGATCAGATCTGCTGTCCAGCTATGGTCCTAGGGGAGCCCGTCACATGCTGGCAGCAGTGTGTGTGTGTGTGTGGGCGCTGTATCCCCCTGCCCCGATGCTATCACTGGTAGCTCCCGATTACGTGAGGGGAGGGAATAGAAGCCTCTCCTTTGCCTTTCACCCTGCTCCCGCATGTCTTCCAGCCGGTGCTCAACCCTGGAAAAAATGGACCGTGTTTCTGCCTGACTGCCCAAACAGAGCTGCTGGCTCGGGGAGGACGCTGCTGCCCTCTTGCCAGGATAGATGCTTCTGCTTCCCTCCCCTTAGGAAGAGCAGACAGAGCAAGCTCCAGGAGGCTGCTGGGAGGGGATCCAGAGCATGCGGTGAGGGCACCTTGGGGGCTGACTTGGTTGTGGAGGGAGAAAGAGGACAGGAATGAGGGAGAGTCATGCCAGAAAGGCTCGGTGAAGGCTAAGGCCTGGAACCCTGTAGGGAAAGTGGAAGCAGGTCGGTCTCTGAATCCACCCATAGGGATACCCACTGTTCATTCCTCTCCTTCTTCCTCCTTTTTTCAAGCACTTCCTATTTTCTATTAATCTACCCACCCACTCATCCATACACCTGCTCACCCACCCATCCATTTATCCATCCATCCACCCATCCATCCACCCACACACACACCCACCCACCCATCCATCCACCCCCCCACCCATCCATCCACCCACCCATCCACCCATCCAACCATCCATCCATCCATCCATGCACCTTTACTCTCTGATGCCTACTCACCAACCTACCTTTCCTCCCATTCATCTGTATGTCCATTGGTCCATGTGTCCACCCAGTTACCCACGCATCTATCCACCCACCCTCCCATCCATCCCCCCTCTCATCTCCCATT